CTAACAGGGCTGTGCAATTTTTCAAAACCAAAGTTTCTGCTTTGAATGAAGAAGCATAATGATAAAGGATCAATAGTCAGGGGCGCCTGGGTGGCTCAGTCGGTTAAGCGTCTGACTCCAGCTCAGGTCATGATCTCTCTGTCTGGGAGTTCGAGCCCCGTGTCGGGCTCTATGGTGACAGCTCAGAGCCTGGAGCCTGCTTCACATTCTGTGTCTCCCTCTCTGCCCCTCCCCTGCTCTCTCTCTCTCTCTTAAAAATAATAAATAAACATTAAAAATTTTTTAAAAAGAATCAATAGTTTTTAACTAATTTCTATAAAAAATAGATATTTCTACTGTCTTATCAGTTAACATTCTTTGGGAACAGGTAATAAAGATAAGCCTGAGCCAGCATAAACAGAAAGCAGGAAAAAATAAAACCACAGGTTGTTTCAAGGAACCAAGGGCAGGAATGCAGCCAGGCTAGGACCAGAAACCAATGGGACTCTTTCCCTGTAGCTTTTTCCTTTGCTTCTCTGTGGGCACGTGCCTCACTGTCTGTCTCAAGTCAGACACATTCTTCCTGCCTCTCTGGACCTTGTGGAGGAATATGGGAACATGGCCACCCCAGTGTTTCTGGGGGTTGAGGGACCCAAAGAAGCTGGCAAGCAATTTTCTGGTCCCATTCTCAATTCCTAGGAGGGAGTATCTGAGGGCCTCCTTGGGCCAGGGGTACACCTCTGGTCTAGTCAGTATTAGACCAAGGGGAGGAGGTGGTCATATAATAGTAACATGGCTGCCGGAGACCTACCTTAATACACGAGGCCAAGTACCCAAAGAATGAGGAATTGTGAGTTTCGCATGTGCCCCTAAGAATGTTTACCATAACTGAGTAACAGGAGAATTGTCATAAAATTTGGAATTAACCAGTCAGTAATAGTTCTCTTACAGTTTAATTTTCACAGCTGCTTTTAAAGAGTTCAGAAACTCTTAAGAATAAACTTGGATATCATGTGTTCACTTATATGTTTAAACTTGGGAACCTCTTTAGAGACCACCTAGACGAAGCCCCCTTAAAACCAGTGATGAGGGACACCTGGGTGGCTCAGATGGTTAAGCGTCTGACCCGACTTCAGCTCAGGTCGTGAGTTCGAGCCCTGCGTTGGCCTCTGTGCTGACAGCTCAGAGCCTGAAGCCTGCTTTGGATTCTGTCTCTCTCTCTCTGTCCCTGTCCCACTCACACTCTGTCTCTCTCTCTCAAAAATAAATAAACACTAAAAAAAAATTTTTTTTTAAGTGATGAGACCAAGATTTGGAGGGTTAAGTGACATTACTAAAGTCACACGGCAAGTTGGTTGAAAAGGTGAAATTGGGACACTTCGCTGACTTCCCAACTTGTGCTCTTTTTAACCATACTGAGTTTCTCCACATAATTTAGGGGTATCATGACGGATTTTGGGGGAAAACCTCGTGTATGAGGTAGGACTAACTCAAGAAGTAGAACCGCTAGGAATGACATAGAATAAGGGATTTATGTAGAGCTGTGCCTCAACTGAGAGAGCGGGTGAAACAGTCTCAGTCCAGCTGTTCCTCCTGTGCCTGGGGCCGAGTCATAGGCTGAGGGGCGGGAAGGAAAGATGAGTGCAAAATGGCAGACAGGAGGGGCAGTTGAAACTATATCTGCCTCTCACCGGAATCCCGTCAGCAAGCCTTTGACGACGTCGCCATGGGTGAGCTGCAGGAGAGGCTGGTGCTCTGGCAATGGTGCCGCACTGGGACCTGGCCCAGGCCTAGGATGTGGAAGAGCTCAGGAGGAGAGCCCGGGCTTTAGCCAGTCTGCTTCCCTACCAACAATGGAGCCACTGGATCCACAGAAACCAGCCTGTGCGGTGAGAGGGACTGACTTGCCTGGACCTTCCGAGAGTAGATATGGCCACTGCTCCACTCCCGTCTTCCAGTTCTCCCTTTTGTGGCCAACCCTAGCTAGAAACAAATGGCAAGGGAAGTAGTGGGTATGTAGTGCAGCTCAACCAGGCCGACACTGCAAAGCCACCGCACCACGACACCAGCAGCTCTGTGGTTGGCAACATGGCCGCCTTCCCAGCATGGGACTGCAGCCGCTATCCGTTCCCTGCGTCCAGCCACTTCCTTACACCTCCCTGGTGCCCGCTCACACCAGGGCAGGGGTGACTGGCAAGTTGCAATTGAGGTCGAAGCCCAGTGAACTTTGGGAAATGAGACGCCCAAATCGAGGCTTCCCACAGGCACCCTCATTGCCGGTGGGTGATCACAGAACAGACGCATCTCCTTGCTTGGGCAGTTGGGAAGAGAATCGCCACTTGTTATGAATCCTGACCCCCTCCCCCTCTAACAGAAAGCATGGTGGGACGGCCGTGGGAGCAGAGCCACTTCTACCACTGGTTAGTAAGCTCTGGGAGAAGTGTGTGGTCCCAGCTGCTGGCACAGTCTCTCAGTATTAGCTCCTCCTGTCCTCAACTTTTAGCCTTTTAGCTACAATTCTTTTTTTTTTTTTTTAATGTTTTATTTATTTCTAGGAAAGAGAGAGAGACAGCGTGAGCAGGGGAGGGTCAGAGAGAGAGGGAGTCACAGACTGAAACAGGCTCCAGGCTCTGAGCTGGCAGTCAGCACAGAGCCCGATGCGGGGCTCAAACCCACGAACCTCGAGATCATGACCTAAGCGAAAGTCGGACGCTTAACCGACTAAGCCACCCAGGCGCCCCTAGCTACAATTCTAGTCAGGCAGGAGAAGTCCTACTCTACATTCCATTTCATAGTTTTTTTCCTTGGTGCTTCCCAGATCTTGAAACCCCTACTATTTAGAACACTGATTAGGAGGTGTCCTTTGGAGATATGTGCTTGTCATCTGGGACAAGATAGATGGGGAAATAGATGAGTTTACTGTAAAACCCAGTTCTGCCCCCATTTTCTGTCACCTCCAAAGCGGTGGGCAAACATCAGAAGCCTGGATGCCCAAGGTAAGTACACGTGGAAGGAGGTAATGAAGCGAATGAAGAGCTTGAGGCTCTCACCAAAATGACTAGAATCATCTGGGCATCTTGGTTACCAGAAGGCAGAAACAGGACCAGGCATAGGTAGGGGGAACAGCTATCATTGAGTTCCTTGTGTGGCTCAATGTGTGATGGTTCCTTTTATGTGTCAGCCTGACTGGGCTAAGTGTGCACAGAGAGCCGGTAAAATTTTTCTGGGTGTGACTGTGAGGATGCTTTCCTATTAGCCCATGGGGATGAAAAGAACGAGGCTGAGGCTGAGCTAAGCAGAAAGTGAGCATAGCGTCTTATTTTTATTTATTTGGTTTTTAATTTTAATTTTTATTTTTTTGAGAGAGAGAGAGAGCATGCGAGTGGAAGAGGGGCAGAGGGAGAGAATCTTAAGCAGGCTCCTCAGTCAGCACAGAGCCCAACACAGGGCTGGATCCCACAACTCTGAGATCAGGACTTGAGCCAAAATCAGGAGTCTGACACTCAACCAACTGAGCCCCCAGATGCCCCCCAGCATAGTATCTTAGAAGAGAATCTTGTACTACGTGCCGGGACAGGAGTCCAATAAAAAAGCCAGCGAGTCCTCACTGTGCATTTAGTGGGGAAATGAACTGAATTAAAAACATCTACTCCTTTCTGTTGATGAGATTTTGGAGGAAGAGAAATAAAGTTTTCTAATTAGGTGTTTATAGGAGCAACTCATGATCTCCCATGGCAAGGAATGCTCTAGCTAAATGCAGTGGAGCTTTTATGTCTGTGGTAAGGGGATGTCCACACTCTTTTGGACAGGAATCACAAGACGGACAGCAAGTTAGTCTGACACCTCAACTTATTGCAAATTGAAAACAAATGCTCAAAACCAAGAAGGCTCTCGAAGAGGAAACAGCATAGAGAGACCAAGAAGAAATTTACTTCTATTTTTTAGCAAGAAAAGACTTGATTATACTTTTGAGTGATAAGAACTAAATCATTGCAGAATATTTGTAAAATAAGGAAAAAAATGTTCACCATCCCATATCATTACTTCTGAGCCTTATTTTCTGAAGACTTCATTTTAACTCCCCTTTGATCTTGTCGTTACTCTGCTTAGAATCCTTGAATGGCTTCCCATGGCCTGTAAATAAAGTCCAAATCCCTTAGCCTGGCATGTAAATCCCTTCAAAGTGTGATGCCAACATGACCTATTAATCTAACCTTCCACAGTTCTGCTGAGGAACTCTCTGCTGTGGTCAAACAGTTTTACTCACCGTCTCTGGAATCTACCTTGCTCTTCCCTCTACTTTCCTGGAACATTCTCCCCACTTCCCTTCTCCTGTCTAACTTGTAACTACTGTCTTATAAGGTCCAGCTGAAATCTCATGTCTGCTGGTCTCTCCCTGGCCAGCTTCGCTCAGTGGTCATCCTTCTTTGGAAAGGCTTCAGTAAGTGTTGTCCTTAAAACTTATCAGAGGGCAGCTGCTTTATGTCTTTCATTATTCTCTTCGGCATTTAAGTCAATCTTTATGGGTAAAATTTTTTGTGTGTTTACGTATTGTCTCCATTAGATTACAAGCTCTTTGAAGGTAGAAGCTGGATATTATAGCTTAAAAATTACAAACGCTCGGGGTGCCTGGGTGGCTCAGTCAGTTGAGCGTCCAACTCTTGATTTTGGCTCAGATCATGATCCTAGGGTTGTGGGATGAAGCCCTGCATCAGGCTCCATATGGAGCTTGCTTAAGATTCTCTCTCCCTCTGCTCCCCCCTCCCACTTGTACACACTGTCTCTAAAAATAAAATTAAAAAGTCTCTAAAAAATTACAGGGGCTCCTGGATAGCTTAGTCAGGTGAGTGTCCGACTTCAGGTCAGGTCATGATCTCGCAGTTTGCAGTTGGGGAATTCAAGCCCCATATCGGGCTCACTGCTGTCAGCACAGAGCCTGCCTCGGATCCTCTGTCCCTCACTCTCTCTCTGCTCCTCACCTGCTCATGCACTTGCTTTCTCAAAAAAAAAAAAATGAAACATTAAAAAAAAATTTTTTAATTACAAATGCTCAATGAAGCATTGCATGAAGGTACAAGTTGGTAACTCCATAATAAATAAGAACAAAGATGCTCATTCCACAGTCAAACAAGTAGCAAACAGCTGCTAGTTTACTATGAGGTTTGAGGTTCTATGGGAAGTATTGCCTTTCAGAGAGGAGACTCCCCCAACTCACCCCACTGTGTGTTCCTCCCCAGCTCTGCTTTATGCAAAGGGAGGGGAAATTGATGATTCAACATGAGGCATTTTAGCAGCTGTCATTTACACCTTAAGGGTCAGCAGCGTCATGGCGCTCCCCTCACACTTTCCATGGCGCTCCCCTCACAGTTTCCGCTCTCCTGTGGTGAGCACACTGCAGCAGCTTCTTCCAGGCAGCGCAAGGCCCTTTCTGCCTCCTGCCTGCTGAGATAATACGCAGAAGAAAGGGTCAAGTTCAGTTTCCCTGAGTGGTCAAGCCTGGCCAAGTCTCTCTGTCCTGTTCCTCTCTCCCTGCAATGGGGCGGGTCTGTTAGCTTGAGGCTGCTGTGTGGAGGCCATCTTAGAGGCAAGCGGGCAGAGGAGAGACAGTCGCACTGTGTCTTCCTGGCCGCAGCCACGTTCTCCAGCCCACGTCCACCAATGCGAGCCACATTCGGGAGTATGGAGGACTTGGCCGACGATTACCAAGTCCTGCTTTGTTTCCCATTTGACTTTTCTTCCCAGCATTGGACCCCTTGGAGGTGTGAGCCACCGGCTTGAGGAAGTCCTATGCCACTGGCCATAATGCAATCAAGCACTGGCAAAATCCCACTTCTAACTTCTAATATAGCTTCTGTTTCAGTCATAGAGTCTTTATAAAGTCTTTGAATAATCTTAAATCTATTCATAAATGAAATAACCTCTAAATTGTTAAAAAGCAATTTAAATTTTTCAAGTAAGAATAGTATGTAATTACATAGAAAATATCCTAGAATATCCTTATTTCAGATCTGTGATTCATCCCTGCCCTCACCCCCATAACAAAAGCCACCCTAGAAATAAAGGTAAACTGGGTCAACGTTAGTCTGGTGCACAATACGATACTGGAGACACAGAAAATTTTGCATTATGTTTGGGGACGCGGGAGCTTGCCAGGCTTGGCCAGCTTTGAAGTAAGAGCACAAGGCTGCTCCCGTGGGCTTTGCTTTCAGCCACATGCTGTTTCTGTTATTGTGACATTCTCACCTTACGCCTATGGGATTTCTGTATTGTCATTGGCAAAGCTTTATTCTAATTTTGAAAAATTGTCTACAGTTTTCTAAAGCCTCCTAGACTCTGCTGAGGGGCAGGCAGACACCACTTTAAGGCCGTTGGAACGGAAGGAGAGAGCAGTCACAGGAGGCTTACAGAGCAGCTTGAGCTGCTGGTGCCGATCATGAACTTGCTCAGTCCAACAGCATTGGAAGGAACCCTGCACAGTGGAAGTTGCAGAACAGACCAGAGCCGAAGGGGTCAAAAGGGCCACGAAGTGCAGAATGACAAGGGAAGCCACAGGGCTTCATGTGCAGGGAGATGGAAGCTATATGCTGTGCGAATGAGCTGGCAACAGCCGTCTGAAGAGAGGGACCAAATACTCCAAAGTCTTAAAGATGAGCAGAGGGACTGTGAGATCTAGAAGGTGCCAAAAGAAGGAAGTGGAAAGTCCCCCCTCTCTGCTGCTCTGTCTCGCAAGCAAACACATCCTGGACGTTGCTCACAGGATGATGTAATGATTGTTGTACTTTTTAACTTCAACACAAGTTGAGTTACACATTCCGGAATAGAATGTTGGCCTCAGTTGGGAAGAATAAACATTACCACAGGCGGTCTCCAAGTGGAAGGGAAGTGTTGATTGTAGGGCTGAGGAGGAGGGGATGGAAAGTCTGTGAGGGCGTTATGGTTGGATGGTTCCTGGTTGGTGGACCAGTGGTCCAGTGATGTTATCAAGCAGCCAATTTCATTCTCTCTCTGCTCTGCCTTCTTCACTTGCAGCCTCATCCCAAGCTGACCTCCCACACACAGACAAAACTTGCTACAGTAGTCGCAATCTTCACTTCTGTTTGCACCGCCATCTAGAACAGCCTTGTCAGGTAGAAATATAACGCAAGCCATGGTGTGTGATTTAAAGGATTCTGGTAGTCCTGTTTTTAAAAAAGCAAGAAGGAAAGAGTGAAATTAATTCCAATAATATATTATATTTAACCTAATAGTTACAAAATCTTATCTCAACATGGAATCATTTGAACATTATTGATAACAGGGGCGTCTGGGTGACTCAGTCGGTGTGGCGGCGGGCTCTTGGTTTCGGCTCAGGTCATGATCTCATAGTTCGTGGGTTCAGGCTTTGCGCTGTCAGCAGGGAGCCTGCTTGGAATTCTCTCTCTCTCCCTCTTTCTCTGCCGCTCCCCTGCTGGCACACGTGTGCGTGCACACACACTCTCTCGCTTTCAACGTAAATACATAAACTTAAAAAAATTATTGATAGCATATCTTACATATGTTTTCTTTTATGCTAAGTCTTCAACACTCAGTATGTATTCTACACTTAGAGAACGTCTCAGTCACACTGCTTGCATTTCAAGTGCTCAATTTCCTAAATAGCCACTGACTACTGTACTGGGCAGGCCGGGTCTAGAAGAAGAGAGAGAGTCCTCCTGTCCCAGTGTTCTTAGCTGGAGTTGACATTCAGTCTGATTGGACTAGGTTAGGCTATTCACCTGTGGCTGTACCCATGACTGTATGCCAGGATTAGGCGAAATGCCTGTTGCTAAACAGAAGTTTGCTAATGTTGATCTTGAGATGACATTATCGTGCTGCACCCTGTGTAATCACCAAGATCCTGATAAGTGGAAGAGGGAGGCAGAAGAGAGAACCAGAGAGATGGCAGCATGAGCAGGACTCGGCTCTGTGCTGGTGACTTGGGGAAGAGGGGGTGGCCACAAGCCAATGGATGTAGGCTGTTCTAGAAGGTGCCAAAGACAAGAAGCAGATGGCCCCCTAGAGCTTCTAGAAGAAACACACTCCTACCAACACCTTGACTTTAGCCAAGTGGACTTCTGGTTAAGAAAATAAGGGGCGCCCTGGTGGCTCAGTCGGTTGAGCATCCGACTTCGGCTCAGGTCATGATCTCACTGCTCGTGGGTTCGAGCCCCATGTCGGGCTCTGTGCTGACAGCTAGCTCAGCGCCTGGAGCCTGTTTCCGATTCTGCGTCTCCCTCTCTCTCTGACCCTCCCCTGCTCATGCTGTCTCTCTCTCTCAGAAATAAATAAAACATTAAAAAACATTTTTAAATATGTATTGGTTAAGCTACTAAGAAAACTACATCAATGATGTATCCCTGAAGTACTTGGAAAGAATGGAAACCCAATTTTTTAAATGAACATTTTGAAACACAAAGGAGTTTTTAGTTTCAAAAACTTGGTTTTTAAGTGTCAAAATAAAACAAAGATTCTAAAACTCATGCCATAAACAATTGACTGAGAAAGAGAGCAGATGAAGAGCTGGACTGTATTGCTCCCTGGAAGGCCAGACAAGGAATCCTAGGCTGGAGGAAGAGAGTTAAAGAGGCCACAAGAGAATAAGATGCTGCTCACCTCTTAATCTGGTCTTTGCACCTCGTTGCCTCTTTCATGCTCATGAACGAAAGAATTCCATATACATTATGGGACTCCAAGAGTGGACAGGTTTTATGCCCCACTTACTACTGGAACCCTGTGAACCAAAGAGTAGGCTTAGGCAGAAACAGCCTAAGGTAACCTTTCAATTTTTGTCCAGCACTAATAGCCTGTGGTCATGACAATGAGGGTATAGAGTGTGTGGGCAAGGGACCAGAGACCATCGTAAGATATGGACGTCAAGGATGCATGCCTGGAAGACAGATGTGATAACAAGACCACATGGGAAACAGCACATCTCAGGAGCGAGCTGGGTGAGCCCATGATGGAGGACCAGCTGTCACCACCACATCAAGCCCTGGAACTCGAATCGTCTCTATAGAGGTAGAGAGTGAAGGAAAATATAAAATGACCAAGTTCATTTTATTATTATTTTTTTAATGTTTTATTTATTTTTGAGAGACACACACACACAGCATGAGCAGGGAGGGTCACAAAGAGAGGGAGACACAGAACCCAAAGACAGGCTCCAGGCTCTGAGCACAGAGCCCGACGCGGGGCTCGAACCCACAAACCATGAGATCATGACCTGAGCCAAGGTCGGTCGCTTAACTGACTCAGCCACCCAGGCGCCCCAAAATGGCCAAGTTGAATCCTGAAATGACTGAAAATATCTACACTTGAGTATTCTGTCTCTTGATATCACAGAGAATGGAGATTCAAGACAGACACAAAATTCACCCCTAATAAATTGCCTCTTGTTGCACATGTCAATTTTGTTACCATATTTATAATATAAAGATACTGGAAATAAATATTTTTAGGTGCATAAATGATTGGGATTGTTCTGTGCTGTTGTTGAATTGACTCCACTGCTAGTATAAAAAGATACTCTTTCTCTGTCAAGAGTCTTTGCTCTGAAATCTACTTTGTGTGATATTAATACAGACACTCCCCCTTTCTTTTGGTAAATGTTAGCATGATATACCACTTAATATCCTTTCACTGCAAACACCTTTCTAGTTTGAAAGAATTTCAAACTTGGAAGAAGTTGCAAGAATAGAAGAGGGACACCTGGGTGGCTCAGTGAGTTAAGCATCTGATTTCCGCGCTCCGGTCATCGGGTCATCGTGATTTCAAGCCCCACCTGACGTTCTCTGCTGTTAGCGAGAGCCTGCTTCAGATCCTCTGTCTCCCTCGCTCCCTGCTCCTCCCCCCTCCCCAAAAATAAACAAACATCAAAAAACAATAGAGCAGATCTTTAAAAAAAATAACAAAAAGAACTCCCCAACAGCTTTCTCCAGCTTCATTCGGTGTCCGCGCGTGAATGCGATGCCGCAGAAATCTAAAGAACCGCTGGCAGGTTCTAGAGCGCCCTCTCTAGACAACTCTGGCCTCTACAGGCCTCCACCCTGCAATCTAGCTACCTTTGCCTCCCCAAATTCTCAGTTCTGCCTCCTCAGCTGAGGTTGTGTTTAGATCCCTTCCCCCTATGGTTTGGCCTGAAAACTCTCTCCAGGTAATAAGGAGGGTGACTTGAGGGCTCATCTCATTGGTTTTGCCTTCTCTCGGGGATCACTGTCAAGACACTGTCTGTTGTCCAGTGCCCGAAAACTGGTTTGTTTTTCTTCCATATATTTTCTCCCATGTTTTTAATTGGTTAAGGTAGGATGGGAACTCTGAACTCTGGTTCCCTCATAGCAATAAGGGAAAATCTAATGTTTTTACAATTATTTTATTTAATACTTTAATTATCTTATTTCATTTGTTTTTAATGTTTATTTTTTGAGAGGGGGAGGCGCAGAGAGAGAGGGAGATACAGAATCTGAAGCAGGCTCCAGACTCTGAGCTGTCAGCAAAGAGCCCGACGCAGGGCTAGAACCCACGAACCATGAGATCATGACCTGAGCTGAAGTCGGACACTTAACCGACCGAGCCACCCAGGCGCCCTAAGAAACCCTAGCTTTTAAACACAAAATCTCCCTCCCCCTATGACCCCAGACCCTGGCAACATCTTTTCTACTTGCTGTCTCTCTGATTTGCCTTTTTTTTTTTTTTTTAAATTTCAGAGAGAGAGAGAGACAGTGTGAGCAGGGGAAGGTCAGGGAGAGAGGGAGATACAGAATCTGAAGCAGGATCCAGGCTCTGAGCTAGCTGTCAGCACAGAGCCCGATGTGGGGCTCAAACCCACAAACCGTGAGATCATGACCTGAGCTGAAGTCAGACGCTTAACCGACTGAGCCACCCAGGCGCCCCCTGAATTTGCCTTTTTTAGGCACCTCGTAGAAGTGGAATCATACAAGATTTATCCTCTTCTGAATGGCTTACTTCACTTAGCATAATGTTTTCAAGGTCCAACCGTGTTGTAGCATAGGTCAGAATTGTATTCCTTTTTAAGGCTGAGTACTAGTCTATATTGTGTGGATACACCACATTTTGTTTCCCTATAAAATGTGTAATGGAAACTTGGGTTGCTTCTATCTTTTGGCTAATGTGAATCATGCTAGTTTACAGGTGTCTGAGCTCTTGTTTTCAACTATTTTGTGTACAAGCCTAGCAATAGAATGGATGGATCATATGGTAATTCTGTTTGGAGGAACCACCAGGCTGTTTTCCACAGTGGATGCACCATTTTACATTCCAACTAGCAATAAACCAAGGCTCTAATTTCTCCACACACATCTTTATCAACACTTACATTCCTTTTTTTTTTTTTTTTTTTGGATAATAGCCATCCTAGTTGGTTTAAAATAGTGTCTTGTGGTTTTGATTTGCATTTCCCTAATGACTTAATGATGGTTAGGATCTTTTCATGTGCTAATTGACTCTATCTTCTTTGGAGAAGTACCTATTCAAACCTTTTGCTTACTTTTTTTAAGGTTTTACTTTTTTTTTTTAATGTTTTATTTATTTCTAGGAGAGAGAGAGAGAGACAGCGTGAGCAGGGAGGGTCAGACAGAGAGGGAGTCACAGACTCTGAAACAGGCTCCAGGCTCTGAGCTGGCAGTCAGCACAGAGCCCGACGGGGCTCGAACCCACGAACCGCGAGATCATGACCTAAGCGAAAGTCGGACGCTTAACCGACTAAGCCACCCAGGCGCCCCAGTGTTTTACTTTTTTAACTAATCTCTACCCCCCACATGGGGCATGAACTCACAACCCTGAGCTGGAGTCGCATGCCCCACCAACTGAGACAGCCAGGTGCCTCAACCTTTGTCTATTTTTGAATTTTTTTAAAATTGTTTTTGAGCTGTAGTTCTTTGGTTAATGCCTTATTAAATATATTATTTGCAAATGCTTTCTCCCATTCTGTTGATTGTCTTTTCACTCTGTTTATAGTGTTCTTTGATACACAAAAGTTTTTAATTTTACTTAGCTCCAATTTATCTATTTTTTCTTTTGTTCCCTGTGCTTTTGCCAAATTTAATGTCATGAAGATTTCCCCCTATGTTTTCTTCTAAGAGTTTTATAATTTTAACTCCTGTTTTTAAGTTGTGATCCACTTTGAGTTAATTTTTATATGTGGTATAAGGTAGGGTCCAACTTCATTCTTTTGCATGTGGATAGCCAGTTTCCCAGCACTATTTGCTGAAAAGACTGTCCTTTCCTATTTAATGGTCTTGGGGAAAATCAATTAACTGTAGATATGAAGGCTTATTCCTGGACTCTCTGCTCTATTCCATTGGTCTATATGTCTGTCATATGCCAGTGTCATACAGTTTTTGTTACTGTTGCTTTGCAATAAGTTTTAAAATCAGGAAGCGTGAGTCTTCCGACTTTGTTCTTTTTAAAGGTTGTTCCAGGGGCACCTGGGTGGCTCAATTGGTTGGGCATCCAACTTTGGCTCAGGTCATGCTACCACGTCTTGTGGGTTCAAGCCCCATGTCGAGCTCTGCACTGGTAGTGCAGAACCTGCTTGGGATTTTCTCTCTCCCTGCCCCTCCCCCCTCAAAATAAATAAATAAACTTAAAAATTAAATAAAAAGTAAAAATAAAGATTATTCTAGCTACTCAGGGTCCCTTGAGATTCTATGTGAATATTGGGATGGATTTTCCTATTTCTACAAAAAATATAGGGATTTCGATAGGGATTGCATTGTATGTACAGATTACTTTGGGTAGTATTGTCATCTTAACGATATTAAGTCTTCAAATCCATGAACACTGGGTGTCTTTATATTTATATCTTCTCTAATTTCTTTCAGCAGTGTTTTACAATGTTCAGTGTACAATTTGTTCACCTCCTTGCTTAAATTTATTCCTAAGTATTTTATTCTTTTTGATACTGTTGTAAATGGAATTGTTTTCCTAACTTCCTTTTCAGATTGTTCATTGCTGGTATGTAGAAATGCAGCTAATTTTTATGTTGAATTTATCTCCTGCAATTTTGCTGAATTTGCCTATCAGTTCTCAAGGGTTGTTGTTGTTGTTGTGTTGCTGCTGCTGCTGCTGTTGTTTTTGGTACAATCTTTAAGGTTTCCTATATCTAAGATGACATCATCTGTACTCACTGATAGTTTTGACTTCTTACTTCCCAACTTGAAAACTTTTTTTTTTCCTTTTTCTTGCCTAGTTGCTCTGGCTAGGACTTCTAAGAATATGTTAAATAGAAGTGGTGGAAGTAGGCTTGTTCCTGGTTAAGGGAAAAGGTTTCAGTCTTTCACCATTAAATATAATGTTAGCTGTGGAGTTTCCATTTGTAGCCTTTATTATGTTCAAGAACTTCCTTTTTATTCCCAGTTTGATAGAGTATGTTTTTTTTAAAGCATGAAAGAGTATTGAGTTTTTTCAGTTTTTTCCATCCATTGAGATGATCGTGTGGGCTTTTTTCCCCTCATTCTGTTGATGTGTCTTATAACGATGGTTGTTGAACCATCCTTGAAATCCAGGGATAAATTGCATTTGGTCATAGTGTATAATTCCTTACATATGCTGCTGAATTCAGTTTGCTAGAATTTCATAATACTGTTTAAAGACCATCCTTTTCATTTATCAGTATATCATTCTTCTACATCCTGCAATATATATTACTTTGTATTTTAAAATCTTTTTTAGTTACAAAATCCTTTCTTTTTTCCCAATAAAATCTTACACAAACTCCCAGCATTAAAGCATAGAACAGTAACGCTTATCTGATGAACACAGATTTACGGAGGCCCAGCGCCCTTATCTACACACTCTCTAGTTCTGCCATGTCTAACCCATTTCCCACCAGTTACCTTCTAAAGAGACCCCAAAGGGAGTAATTTGAAAGCCCTTGGTATGAACTTGTCATCACTGCATTGTACTCTGTCATATGAGACTTCATAATTTCATTAATCTATGGTTTTAATTAATTAATTATTATTTATTTTAGAGAGAGAAAGCACACAGGTGGGGGAGAGGGGCAAAGGGAAAGGGAGAGAAGGGCACCTGATGACTCGGTCAGTTAAGTGTCTGACTTTGGCTCAGGTCATGATCTTA